TACGTCGTTTTGTCAGTTAACCGTCCGTGATTTAAAATTTGTAATTTCTTATGGTGAAATAGTTAGTGTAAACTGTAATATCTAGTGTTTATTTTATAATTCGTATTCAAATTTGGTGTTTTGGTCTTGTAACAATGGATCAGGTAAATGTAAATTAAATCCTCAGTATTATAGTACTTACTTGAACCTGGTACCTACTGGTCATTTCTATTATTGCATACAATAATATTTTATGATCATAATATTATACATTAGTATGGTCAAGAGTCGTCGGAATTACTAGAATTAGGCATTTCCTATAATACTGAATACGCTGTGCCTATTCTACCGACTCAAGTACCATTCCAAGTTGCATGTCAAGCTCAATCAATTAAACCTGCCAAGGAAAGAAAACCAATCGAGTGGTCTATTGAAGTAAGTTCTTAAAATTCTATTAATTATTTATTCGTAGCTTGAGATGCTTGTGTAGTTGCTAGTTTGTACTTAATATATTATTGGAATTAACAAGCAAAATGGTATAATATATTGTGTAATATTATATTTAATTTTTATTCATAAAAAAAAACAATTAGGTATAGGTATCAACAAAAAATTAATCCATGTAAGCTACTACATATAGTAGTTCATTAGATATGCAGGTATACTGTAGTACAGTATATATTATTGTACAATAAATAAATCTGAAAAACTAAATGTTAGTGTATTATATTAATATAAAAGGTAGGAATGTATATGGGGTACAATGTCTTAACAAAGATTTCACTGTAATGTAGAATGTAAATAATGTGTTGTACTTGTATAAATTGTACCTACTTAAATTATGTAATTAATTGGTAGGTAATATGAATTAAAATTATTAGGTTCCCGGGTAACATTATGCAGGTTTAAGGTCGGTGTTATTGACCGTATAGTTCTTTTAACGTTATATGGTTAAAATAAGAACGATATTGTTCAAATTGNAAAATTCAATATTCCAATTTTTGTCTGCTGGAGCACCAGACATATTTTTATCTATTAAAAATAAAATTTGTTTTTGGTTATTTTCTATAATCTCAAACTTTTGAGCCATTTGAATTTGAGATTTTATGAGGAACTTCAAAGCTCCTTCAATGTTAAATTGTTCCTTGACTGTAAAGTAAATGAATAATTATTATTTCTTATTTACTATAAAAATTTATTATAAATACATATATAAAATATAATTACCCTTAATTGGAGTTTCGCTACATCCTACTCCAACTGAATTTGTTGGACTTAGATGAGCAGCTTGCTTGATAATTTCTGAATATAATTTTAGTAAAGAATATTTAGAATTAATATATTTGTATAGTAGTTTACTTATTTACTTTTTTTTGTAGTTCCGTTGTCTTCGTCAGAGAATAGATCAACAGAGTTTGTTGACATAGACGGACTAACATCAAATGTCACAATGTTTTTTCCTTAAAAAAATTTGAATGAAATTAAATAAATAATGAGGTACATTATTAAGATGGTATTCAATTACTTTTTTTAGTAGTTTTAACATCTAATTCTTTATGGAAAAAATCAATTGAGTTTGTTGATTGTGTAGGACTAGTTAATTGATTATCTGTTTCTTATAGGTACAAATGTAAACAAGTAGTTTAATAGTTTAAAGTTTTATTAAATTAAGTTTTACTAATTACTTTTGATTGGACTATCATCGTTTTCACTGCTAAAGAATAGATCATTAGATGATTTAAATTGTTCTGAGTTATTTAGAGAAGTAGAAGCTACAACTGTATTGACATTTTTATAATTGCACCACATTTTTTCATTTAAACCTGAAAATTATAACAAAAGAACTTGGTGATAAATATATATATATATTATTTAACTACAGTTGAAATATTAATGCTATAAAAATAGCTATACAAACAATTTATAAAAAAATAGTTTTAATCATAACATATTAATATTAGTAACTAATGTTAATTTATAATTATAATAAATAATAATTATAAATTAACATTAGTTTTTTTACTTATGCTTACTTTTAATGGGTTCCAAAGAAGATGATAGGCGATTTGCACATGTATGATTTCCTGTTAAAAAAAAAAAATGTCATTGATCCATATAGGTACCTATTTCATAATAATGAACTAAAATTATTTAAGTAAACAATTCATACACATTATTATCACTCATACACGGATGATCTTCGTCGGATACACATCACACTCAGGGAACCAGGATAATTATATTATAGTTTTTTAATTAATAAATAACAAGTTAAATAATCAAAATCATGGAATAAATTAACTATAAGAAATAAGAAAATAAGGATTTTTATGACTAGAAACTTTTTGAGGCTAACTTGGGCAAATCATACAAAAAATAAACGTAAACAGCTCAACCCCCGCCTCCATTTACTCCGACCTCTTCTAAAATCGAAAATAAATCTTAAAAATAAAATATTAATTTACAAATCTATCATAAGACCAATATGGACCTATGGTATTCAAATATGGGGCCCAGCGAAACCAGCTAACATCCGCCCCATTCAAGCCTTTCAATCCATCTCATTAAGACTCTTAACCGGTGCTCCGTGGTATATCACAAATTCAGCTCTCCATAATGACTTAAAACTTCCAACAGTAAATGAACTTGCTAAAAGCTACTATAAAAAATTCCATTCCAAATTAATTAACCATTCTAACCCCTTTATCAACAACATGTCTTCTCTCACATTACCTCATAATATTCCTCGACGTTTAAAAAGAAATTGGGCTAGAGACCTTCTAAACTAAATCTAAAATTAAATAATTAAATTAAATTGTAATGCCCGAACTCAAATTTTCTGAGGTTCTGTCACTGGACAGTCTCCTTTTCATGTGCTACATGTCTTCTTTACTCATTGTCATCATTGTTGCTTATTGTTTTTGTGTGTAACCAAATTGTAATATTTCATTAAAAAAAAACTTTTTGAATAAATTTGAGACATGACAGATAAATTGTATTTTATATAGGTAACTCGGAAAATCACACTGTCTTACTTTTTTTTATTTGAGTTTGTGTAAAACTTTTTGGTGGTTTTGGAAGGATAGGTAACTTTTCAGCGTTTAATTTAGTTACCTTAGTTGCTTCAATGTTTTTACCTAAAACCAATAGAATACACATATTATTTTTTTAAATTTTTACAAATATGGAAGTACAAAATACAATATTATAACACCAAATGTTTTACTTGATCCTTTTAAATTTTGAACACTGCTATCCTCATCCTCGAAAAATAACTTCTTTTTTGCTCTATTTTTACGTTGACTTTTAAGAATACTTTCCACTTCAGTATCAACTTCCGATAGATTATATTTAATGACGTCAATCTCTTTTTCTTTAATTCTGTTATAATCATCTAAAAAAAATATTTATGTCATTAAACATAAAATATGTCTGCATTTATAAATTTAAAATATTTAGGAACTAGGTTCTTTTTGAAACACTATACCATGTTCAATGAAGCCGCAGTGTGTTTTTCACAAGTAATACAAGAATACATTTTAAAATAAAACTAATTTATCTACTAAGTTTACTGTTTAATTATTTAGTCTTTCATACTTACTACTAGAACCAAGAATATTTATGAATTTACATAAGGACCAGTTTGTATCATCTACTGGTATTAAGTTTTTTACCATTTGATTCACATTAGACATTGATTTAACATGTGTTGGATAATAACACAGTTTATCATGTTTGGCTAACCAACTCATTGGAACTGATTGGATACCATCTTCAAATTCAACAACAGCATATTTTTTATAACTTAAACAAAAATTATATCATTAAAATTAAAATTAAAATCACTATTTTTTTATTTTAACGGGCCTTTGAATATAAGGATGAAATGTTAGACGCATATATATACACTGCAGTGTTGGAGAGTAATTTGTTTTAAGTTACAAGTTACTGTAACAAAATTACATAATTGTGAGTAATTTATATCCAATTTAATTTACTATTTTGTTGTTAAATTACGAAATATTACCCTATTTAAAAAAAAAAATAGTTACTTTTCTTTGTTTAATACCTTTTCAGAACTAATTGATAATGTATGTAAATATTTAAATATACCTATCATATTTGTATTTTAAGCTCGATTACAAGTACCTATGTAAAATATTCCCGATTAATTGGTGATTATAATTATTATTTCTTTACGTTGCTATTTGTCGTTATTTAGTTACCGACATAATTATGTATTATCGTATTGTAATAACAACCATGATTGTTACACAGTGATATATGTTTAAAAAAAAAGTAAAGTAACTTGACCAAACCAAAAGTAAGTAACTTAAGAATAATTTAGTTACAATTTTGAAAAGGAATTAATACCTACCTGCCTAATATAATTTATTTTTAAAAAAAAGTAACTTTCTTAACATTACAGTACCTATATTATTATATTATTATATACTGCAGTTATAGCGGCCGGAACGGTGAACTAAAATAACCACATATTAAATTATATCTACCGTGAGCCACCATGCACTACCAATTTATAAGATAGGCAGACAAATTAATGTATAAAATTTGTACTTTGCAGTAAGTATGTTACAGATTTTGTTTAACATTGAGCCAATTTGGCCGCCATGATATAGTAACGTGAATGTTAACTAACGAATATATTATATCTACCTATCTAAATATTAAGTATATAGTAATAATAGTAGATACTTACCGAATACGTTCATCTTTTGATTCCATAGCGTAAGTTAGTAGATCAGGAAAAAGTGAAAAACGAATAACACTACTATGAATAACACTACTTTTCTATGATTAACAGTTTTGAATAATAATAAATGATTTCTAATTTGTCATGATAATTATTATGGCAAATAATCAAATAACGGACGGCAGTCACGGCACGATGATGAGTGTACGACTTATTGCGTGTTCGCGTGGTGCGCCATGGATGGGTGGAGTGGCGGACGTAACAAACGTTTCTCGAGTACGGGTAAAACCCAATCAACTCATCGATAAGTCACATACATAATATATAAATATCTATGCCGAAAGTCGAAATTTGATAAAGGACAAAGATATCTGTGCCCCGTGGTAATGTGATTATATTATTATTGTGATGAGCGATGACAGATGAATATTGAATGGTGTTTGGTGATGTAAATTATGTATACAATTTTAAAGTTCTTTAAAATCGTGTGTATATTGCTGTAGTTTGTTACATCATCACTCATCAGTATACGGCTTACATGCAGTTATTAACTATGTAAGTATCTACAATTAATTATACTTTTTTAAAGTATTATTTGGTATTTATTATTTTATTAAATATATATAATAATAATGTTAATAATAAACCAGGTCAAGAAAACCGTTGAATTATTGCACGTCCAGGAATTTGAGACTTCTGGTTTCTCAAGAGTATGAAAGACAACTTTTACAAATTTCAAATGAACAAAGTGATCATGTAGAACAAGCTGCAGAATATCTCGTTGAGGTAAGTTTTGAATTAATAATATCTGTATTATATTTTGAGTTAACTAATAAAAATTAATAAAATGATATTTTACATTTATCTACATGCTAGTAATTGTATGTAATTTTTTTTTATTAGCAACAACAATCTCCTGATATTACAAATGACACATTTCAATTTCCAATGTTTATTGATGAAGGGATGGATGATGATTCAAATACAATAACCATTTCCACAGAAGATAACATTTACATTGATGACAACCCTGCAGTAGATATTCAAAATGAAAACAATGATATTTTATCTGAAATTAAAAACTGGGCATTGACTGAAAATGTGACTGCTAAAGCCGTAAAGTCTTTACTTTTAATCATGCGAAAATATTTCAAGCATCTTCCAACTGATCCACGGACCCTATTATCTACACCAAGATCAACCTGCCTACGAGTAGTAGAACCTGGAGTATACTACCATTTTGGCTTAAAAAATTGTATTATAAATTTTTTAAAAAGCAATAGTTCTTATAATAACCTTTCAAGTATTGACATAATGTTTAACACTGATGGGCTTCCTTTATCAAAATCATCTAGTAGTCAATTATGGCCGATCCTTGGATCTGTTATTGGATTTAAGGAAGTTTTTGTTATTGGACTTTATCATAGTTTTTCTAGTAAGCCAAAGGATGTTGATATCTATTTTCACGACTTTTTACAAGAAGCTAAACTTCTTGTCGAAGAAGGTTTGATTTTCAAATCAAAAAGCTTTAATGTTAGGGTTAAAATGTTTGTGGCAGATTCGCCAGCAAAGGCTTTTGCTTTGTGTATAAAACATCACAGTGGCTATTCATCATGCACAAAATGTTATTCTGAAGGTGAATATTTAAGCCGTAGAATTTGTTTTCCTGATGTTGATTCAGTACTGAGAACTGATATAAGTTTTATTGAAAAACATGATGATAATTACCATCGTGGTGAAACACCATTGGTAAATATTCCACACTTTGGTCCAGTAACCAATGTTCCCCTCGATTACATGCATCTTGTATGCTTAGGAGTTGTAAAAAAATTAATTAATTTATGGTTTGATGGACCATTAAATGTCCGTATAAGATCTAGTGTAGAGAAAGAAATATCGTTCAAGATAAATGAAATTAGATCATATATTCCAATTGAATTCCAAAGGAAGCCGAGGCCGCTTAATGAATATAAACACTGGAAAGCAGTTGAATTCAGGACATTTCTTCTTTATATTGGACCAATTGTTCTTAAAAATAAAATATCATTGGACACTTATCAACATTTCCTTACATTACATGTTGCTATAACAATATTGTGCAGCAGAGAACTTACTGAAGAACTTTTATTATATGCCGAAAACCTGTTAAAACATTTTGTAATAACATTTAAAATAATTTATGGGGTTCATAACCTTAGTCATAATGTACATGGTTTAATTCATCTTGCCAAAGATTGCAAAATGTATGGATCATTGGACACATTTTCAGCATTTCGCTTTGAAAACCATATGCAGCAGTTACTAAAGCTAATAAGAACATATAATTATCCAATTCAACAAGTAGTTAGAAGACTAAGTGAGATTGGTGGCAACTCCACTCCTCAACTTGAAAAAGACACGGATGTAATTATGTGGTCACAACATAAAAATGGGCCAATGCTGTCTTCTTGTCATCCACCTCAATTTAAAAAAATAAAAATAAATGGTTTGACATTTACAGCCAATAATTTAAAAGATTGGTGCTGCCGTACAATATGTGATTCTTTTGTACTTATTGAAAATATTGCATATCAATCAAAACAACTAGTGATTATAGGAAAACAATTTTTGTTAAAATCTGAATTATATGAATATCCATGGAAATCTTCATACTTCAAAATTTATAAATTAAGAAATTTATCAGCAGAATTGAAAAGTTGGAAAGTTGAAACTATTGTAAGCAAATATTTTTTGTATAAAGTTGAAAATGGAACATTTGCTGCATTCCCTATGATTCACAGTGAAGTTAGTGAAAAACAAAATATTTAACATTTTTATGTTATTAAAATACCTAAAAATGTAATTTATTATATTTGTAAATATTTTTTGTTGCAATTAATTAAACAAATGTTTATATTTTCAAATTTAATTTTTGTATTTATTTGTATTTTGTGTTAAATTATTAAATAATCACCACCGCTAGCTTTTATGATATATACCTACTTTATTAAATGTTATATACAAACTAAATGGAGTAAAAACAATATGATTGATATACCCCATCAAAAAAGTTGATTATATTGTACACAATTAATACACACATTATATATAGAATATATATGATATTATATTATGTGTAATGTATATCGACTCATTATTGCTTTTATTGGAGATGATACTCAAAAATCAGCTATAGATGGTTAATGTGATCATATATATGATATAATAAGACTGAAACCGGTATACAACTTTAATTCATTCCTATAAATTAGACTCAATATTAAAGCCTTGGTACTCAATGTAAAGGGGTTTTGAGGTACACAATTATTACTATAGTTTGAAAAAATTTGATTATGATGCATCATGATAGCGAAGTTATTGTGTTAAGTTAAGTTATGGTGCTTATAATAGCATACTCTAATGAGTGATTTATATACTTTTTTTTTTTTATTAGAACTTTTAGCAATAACTATTACAGTTCAACAATTAATTCTATTCTTATTTCTATACTTAATAATATATAACAATCTCGCTGGGAAATTCCATAGAAGTTGTATGGGCTCAACTATAATCCAGTCATGGCTGGCGGCTGCAAGGCGTGCAGTGCACATGTATATCCACATCAAGTGAAATATTATTCTCAATACCCCTGGGAAGTTCCTAGGAGGTTGTATGGAATCCTTAACTGGACTCCAGCCATGAAGTATAATGGGATGCACCAAGTTATATTTTATATGAATATCAACTTCTCAGGGAAGTTCCTAGGAGGTTGTATGGAATCCTTAACTGGATTCCAGCCATGGAGTATAATGGGATGCACCAAGTTATATTTTATGAATATCTACTCCCCAGGGAAGTCCCTAGGTAGTTACATGGACTCCTTAGCTGGAATCTAATGCTGGTGCCTAATGGGAGGCTCCCATTTCATTCCCTGGAATCCAAGTGTTACTAGGGTAAACACAATATAATATTATTGTAAATTGTGACTTAATTGTTCGGTATGTTACCGTAAATATTAAATTGGTAAATAGTGTGTATGTAATGTACTA